TTACTCTTATCTGTATGACCAAAAATGGAGTAGGCTATTTAATGTGTCAGCTGTTTGATCGCGCCAGGGCCTCGTGCGCGCACACACACACACACACACACACACACACACTCTAGCAATTCAAACTTGCCATCGCAGTCTGTTCATTATCAAAATAAAATACAGTCAGCCAAACATATCAATTTAAAGAGTCAGCTTGCTGCTGTTGCAACAGCTGCTGTTATGCCAAGCGAATTTTTGCGCATGTGAAGAGGATTTTTTTCCCGTCGATATGCTAACGCGCTTGAAGCCTAGTCTACATTATAAATAATAGTTTAACACTGAAATACATTGCGAATATGGAAGCATTGGATTTGTGCCGAATGAGAGGTACGTGAGCCCAACGGTAGCCTACTTTCCGTCTCGCTTTGTTTTGGTTTCTTTAGCTTTATATTTTTTCGTTCTTGATCTGTTCTGCATACCGTTACATTTAAATTATTTGTTTTGGAGTGAGGGGAACTAGGCTATGATTATAGTGTTTATAATGTTTATACATTATAATATTTCACTTTATTTGGTATTATTTCTGGTATTATTAGTGGGTTAAGCAGTAGCACCAATCAACGAGACCGATTTTGAACTTAAGAAAGCTGATTGGTCAATAATATGTTGAGGACCAATACATAATCTACAAATCATGCTCCACATACATCTACATAAACCCGCAATCGATCTGTCTCGTATGCACGCACGCACTGTCACGATTTAATGCACTTGTTAATGCCGGATCTTTAAAAACAAATACCAGAACGCAAAAATCCAAAATCTAACATTTTCCAGAACAGGATCCGGCTCAAATTAAGCACTGCCCACAATGCAAAGTCTCACATTAAAAACATTTTTGAAGTATTTTGATATCTTGATTTGAATGTTGAAGGCCACATAAGAGATTGCTTTATGCTTTTATAGTTTGTATGTTTAAGTTGTGTTAATGTAGTTTAAAGGGGTCATATGATGCTGCTAAAAAGAACATTATTTTGTGTATTTGGTGTAATGAAATGTGTTTATGCGGTTTAAAGTTAAAAAAACACATTATTTTCCACATACTGTACATTATTGTTTCTCCTCTATGCCCCGCCTTTTTGGTTAATTTATTTGTTGTTTAAACTTATTATATACCTTTTTTTGGTCTCTGACATGTTGTAGATGTAAAGCTTTTTGTTTTGCAGCTTGCACGAAGCTAATCGATTGTGAAACATACTTCTTTATTTGCATCAAATATCAACAAATAAAACTGAGTGGCATGCAAATTTCACGCATTAACGGGAAGTCAGGTTTTATTAGGAATTATTCAAGTGAACAGCCAATAATCAAGCACCTAGAAATAAATTAAGAGCATTTTTTTATTAGTTTGATTTACAGGATATCATACAGATCAATCAGGGTGCAACCTGTTCCAATTTTTTTTTATTAAGTGAGTAATTAAGTGTTTTTTTTTTTATTATGACACATTATTTTTAATGATATTTGTTATTAAAATATATGTAAATATTAAATTTTTATTTATTTTATATATTAAAAAGAATATTTAATTAAAACAATATTTAATTAAATATTAATTAGATTTTTTTCATTAGATTTTTTCCACACTTATTTACATTTAAATGACAAATCAATGGCCAAAATGCATTTTGAATCATGGGCTATATCAGTGCATTAGTATGATAGTCATACAGTAGTATGAGATTTTCGTTCTCCATCTTTTGCTTTGACAGGGTGTTTCACCACAGAAGATCTACCATGTGACCGTGATGCCCTGCTATGATAAGAAACTCGAGGCTTCCAGACCAGACTTCTACCTCAGCGAGTACGAGACCAGAGAGGTGGACTGCGTCATCACTTCAGGTGAGTGAATCTAAGAGGATTAAAATCATGAACTGAAGGAAAACAGGTAAGATTATAGCCATAAGAAGTAGACCTCATCTTCTCTGTGTCTGATTCATAGGTGAAGTTCTGAAGATGTTGGAAGAGGAGAATGTGTCTTTGAGGGACGTGGAAGTGGGACATTTAGACACGATGTAAGTTCTTCATGTTTGACAGTAAAACCCAGTTACCACTTGTGAAATAGAGTTATATGTGTGGATTTGCTGGTGTGAATGTGGGTTTTAGGTTCAGTAACGTGTGTGGGGAGGAGCTGCTGGGTCACGCAGGAAGTGGATCTGGAGGATACCTTCACCACATCTACAAACATGCCGCCAAACAGCTGTTTAGGGTTGAAGTAGATGAACTCACTTACAAGACTATGAAGTACATCTGAACTCAGCAATATTGTTACAAAGATCCCAGAACTGTGTTGTTTGTTCACCACTGTTAAAGGGTTAGTTCACCCAAAAATGAAAATTCTGTCATTAATTACTCACCCTCGTGTTGTTCGAAACCCATAAGATCTTCGGAACACAATTTAAGATATTTTTGATGAAATCTGAGGGCTCTCTGACCCTCCCATAGACAGCAAGGTAACTACCATGTTCAAGGTCCAGAAAATTACCAAGATGATCGACAAAGTGGCGTCATTACGCCGGATCTGGGTCAGCCCCACGACACGCTCGCATCATGGTACTGTCGTGAACGTGCGTCCACAAGTGACGCGTAGACGAAAATGTGGAATAAAGTCGTTATTTTTGTTTTCTTTGCGCAAAAAAGTATTCTCGTAGCTTCGTAACTTTACAGTTGAACCACTGATGTCACACGGACTACTTTGTCGATCATCTTGGTACTTTTCTGGACCTTGAACGTGGTAGTTACCTTGCTGTCTATGGGAGGGTCAGAGAGCCCTCATATTTCATCAAAAATATGTTAAATTGTGTTCCGAAGATGAACGAAGGTCTTACGGGTTTGGAACAACACGAGGATGAGTTATTAATGACAGAATTGTCATTTTTGGGTGAACTAACCCTTTAAAGAGTTTAGGGTCAGTAGATTTTCTTTTAAAGAAATTCAAACATTTATTTAGTAAGGTTGCATTAAATTAATCAAAATGATCAAAAGACTTTTACATTGTCACAAAAGATTTCTATTTCAAATAATAAAAATGCTGTTCTTTTAAACTTTCTATTCATTAAAGAATCCTGGAGAAAAAAAATCTATCAACTGTTTTCAGCATTTATAATAATAATAAATGTTTCTTAAGTGCTAAATCAACATATTAGAATGATTTCTGAAGGATCATGTGACACTGAAGACTGGAGTAATGATGCTGAAAATTCAGCTTTACGTCACAGGAATACATTACAATTTATTTTAAATAATTAATAATTCAATAATTTTAAAATATATTCAAATAGAAAACAGTTATTTTTAAAATAGACAAATTTTTATTGTAAATAGTAATAAGATTTCACAATATTTGTGTTTTTTCTTTATTTTCGATCAAATAAACAGCCTTGGTGAGACATTTTTCAAAAATATTTTTAAAAATCTTGCCGACTCCAAACTTTTGAATGTTGGTTTATAGAATTATAAACTGGTTTTTAAATGTTATAAATATTTACCATGGTTTTTGAGTCAGACCAGGAAAACCTAGAAATATGAGAGTATTTTTTTTTTTAAGGAAAAGGATTTTATTTCATGGAAATTAGATTATGGAAGCCTTAGATTATGCTAATACATAATTCTATAGCCAATGTAATTTTTCCAGTTATGCTTAATTCTTCTAAAGTATTTCTTTGGCTAGAAATGACTAGAAAGTCATTTGTAATTTACTGATTTCTAAATTAAGTAAGAATTTCTTTATGAAATCATATTTAAAAACCACTTTAAAACTTGTTTTTTTTTTGGACTGGAAATTGGTCCGAAATTCTAGGAACCATGTAATATTATGGTATTCTTGAAAGTACATTAAAGCACCATAGTAAATGAATACAATAATCATTCATGGCTTGTATTAAAATACCTTATTATTAACACCTGATAAATCACTCTACCACAGTACTGTTATTTTAAGGAATAATATGCATTGCTTGTCACGTTTTATTTTAAAAGACTGATTTAACAAGTGTTTGTTCACCATAACATTTCCAAAAGTACCATGGTGCTACTATAGTTTATTGGTCACATCTCATGGTAGTGCCTCGGTACATTTTTGTAACTAACATTGTCTCTGTTTTTTTTTTCAAAAGGAACAAAGACTTCCAGGAAGTCACTCTAGAGAAGGACGGTCAAGTTCTGCTGCAGTTTGCTGCCGTCTACGGCTTCAGGAACATTCAGAACCTGGTGCAGAAGCTGAAACGCGGAAAGTCACCGTACCACTTTGTAGAAGTGATGGCATGTCCGTCAGGTCAGAAATGGCACCTCTAGTCCTTAAAAACCTTTTTGTGACATTTGTACATTTTCTGCAGCTTTGTGCAACCTACTTCTCAACACATGCCATATGATGTCTCTATGTAGGGAAAAAAATGTTGCAATCAGCATCACTGAAGGACAATTTTACTATTTTACTCTTTAGAATGATATTTTGTAATTGTATGCTTTAAAGGGGTCATATGATGCGATTTCAAGTTTTCCTTTCTCTTTGGAGTGTTACAAGCTGATTGTGCATAGATAAGATCCCTGAAGTTGCAAAGACTAAAGTCTCAAAACCAAAGAGATATTCTTTATCAAAGTTAAGACTCTGCCACGCCCCCCTAAAACGGCTCATTCTAACACGCCCCCACATATCTACCCCACTATGTGGAAATATTTGCATAATCCCGCCGCAAATGTGCACGCAAAGAAAGAAGGCATGGTTTCAGTAACCGCAGTTAGTGTTAAAGCAGCCATGTCAGGGAGACGCTGTGTGTTTCAGTGCGAAAGCAAAAGCACTTTATTTGGCCTTCCAGAAGTAGATGCAATTAGGAATCATTGGTTAAGATTGAATGATTTCTGAAGGATCATGTGACACTTTATACTGGAGTAATGGCTGATGGAAATTCAACTTTGCATCACAGAAATAAATTATATTTTAAGGATATTAAAAAAGGAAACCATTATTTTATATTGTAATAACATTTTGCAAGATTGCTGTTTTTTTCTGTATTTTTGATCAAATAAATGCAGCCTTGATGAGCATAAGAGACTTCTTTAAAAAACATTACAAGTCTTACTGATCCCAAACTTTTGACCGGTAGTGTATATATTTGGATACTCTTGTGATACTATTCTCTTGAATTAAATCTACTCTCAGACAATAATAGGATGGTGTTTCAGTGCTGTTCGGCAGCATTTTAAAATAATCGGATTCACTAACACTTCTAATTGTGTTCTACAGGATGTCTTAATGGCGGCGGTCAGCTTAAGCCTTCATCAGATCAAACTAACAAAGAGCTGCTGCAGCAGGTGGAGGAGTTGTACCGCGGTGAACGTCCCTCAGTGCCAGAGCAGGACTCACCAGTGGCTGAACTCTATCAGAGCTGGTTAGAGAGCATGGGTGAGGAGAAAGCCAGACAGCTGCTGCACACACAGTACCACAGCGTAGAAAAAAACACCAGTGGACTCAGTATAAAGTGGTGAGGAGACACTGATGAACTGTTTATGTTGTTTCTTTGCCAGTGTTTCTGAAACCACTGAGCACATCTCTGTGTGTGAACTGTCTTTAACATGCATTTGACACTACACCAGCTCAACACTTATAGACATGTCATTAACAAATGTGATTATGAAGTAATATTTCCTGCAAATATGCTTCTATTAGGTATCTGCTGAAGAAAGTTGAGGTCAGACTACATACCAAACCAGCATTTATGTATTTTATAGCAGTAGACAATTTTTCTGTCCATTAATGTTGCCTTATTTTTTCTTTCTTTCATTTATTCATGAGTTTGTTTCTTTGAAAGCGTTGAATGCAAAAGATGTTACTATGTAGTATGCACTGAAAATATTTTTTTCTTGTTTTTTTTTTTTAAATATCTTTTGATTTATGATAATAAAAATATGATTGCATGTTGCCATGCATATAATCATTCCATGAATGTAATTCTATTTATTGAGAAAATAAACTATAAATATATTTTACTCAAGTTTTTTTCATATATTTGTGATTAGTTTACTTTTTCTTTTTTGTTAATATAGGCATTTTGATTCAGGGCTTTTTAAAATAACCAAACAACAACAAAAAAATTATTAAATATTGCATTTTTTAAGTATTAAATTAGTCCTGATATTAATAATGTGCACGGTACATCTTTTTAATTTATGTGTGACATTTAAAACTGTAATTTGATACTTTGAATTATTATAATTGTTATGCATATTTTATGTAAATCTTTTGGTAATAAATCAGGACAGTTGGAAGACTTTTGCTGTTATTGCATCAAGAAAATTTGTTTTTAACAATTAGTACTTAATATTGTTTTATACAAAAGCAGGTAATAAAACATCATTAATCTAAAGTGTAGTTAAATTTATGGGGGAAAAAACTGCAAACAGCTGTTTATATTTACATTAAGACTTTATTCAGTTTGAACAATGTAATTATAATGAATAATATCTGTTATTTTTGATGCCAAAAAATGCAAGTTCAACTGAAACAACTGGATGAGCTAAAACAAAGCGAAAAGCTGAAATCAGTATGCAATATTTTCTTCATTCAAAATCATCCAGAGACATCAAAATAAACGCAATTTAATCAAATGTCATTTTCTGATGGACATAAAAATATACCAAATAAAATTTAGCTGGAACACCTCGCTTTGTTCATAACATCTTAAAAATGATTCTTTTTGATTTACAAAATAAAACATTGCACATTAAGACAAACATTTCGAAATAAAACTATAATTTAACCACATCACGTTGGTTCATGGCCTGGATCTTCCCAAAAGCTGAAAATGTCAAAAAATAAAACTTACGTAACCTTACGTAAATAAAATTTTGCCTACAACACAGAACTAGTACATTTGTATTTTCCATAAATGCAAATCAATGGCATAAATGTATTCTTTCAACGATGAAAACATTCTAAATAAATTTTTTTTTGTTTGATCTATTGCTTGTATTAATGGTTTGAAAACATTGTTTTACAGGTTAACAATCCTGTATATTGCTCAATGAAGACGATACGCTGCCTTAAAGAAAAAAACATGAAAATAAACAGCTCAATAATTGTGCTTTTGCTATAAATGGAGTTTCCACATATGCTTCATGTCCTGCTATTGTTAGTGAAGTGATGAGCAGATATAAAAGTAGTGGTGATGACCAGCGCAAAGACAAGCCCGAGAGCTCAGTTCTTCGGGACTCTAAAGCGGTCCTTCTCTTTACGGATGTTTCTCATGGCTTCAATCGGGTCACTGGTCCCAGCATGCTCTTGTACCGACTTCTCTCTGAAGTGCAAACACAAAACAATATTTATTTTAAAATGATATATATATATATATACACACACATATACAGTCATGGCCAAAAATATTGGCACCCTTGGTAAATATGATCAAAGAAGGCTGTGAAAATTAATCTGCATTGTTAATCCTTTTGATCTTTTATTTTAAAAATTCACAAAAATCTAACCTTTCATTGGATAATAAGAATTAAAAATGGGGGGAAATATCATTATGAAATAAATGTTTTTCTCAAATACACATTGGACACAATTATTGACCCTTCAGATTCCCAGCTCCATGGTGGTGCTTCTCCTCTTCAGTTCACCACTCATTTTCTATAGGGTTCAGGTCAGAGGACTGGAATGGCCATAGCAGAAGCTTGATTTTGTGCTCAGTGACCCATTTGTGTGTTGTTTTTGAGATTTGTGTTTGGATTATTGTACGGCTGGAAGATCCAAACATGACCCATTCTAAGATTTCTAACAGAGTCAGTCACTTATTGATTTTTTATCTGTTGGTATATCTTTGTGTGTGTTTTTTTTTCCTTTTTCCAACCAACATATTTTTTAATCGTAATATTCGAAGTTAACCCATTTGTCAAAGATGGTGCAAGGTTTATATGATGTATAGTTAGGAGTTATTTCACATACCTCACTCTCATGAAGGGGTTAAATGTGAACTCATCAGCCAGTGTAGAGGGAATGGTTGGCTCTCCGTTATCGTATTTTTCCTAATCGGTGTAAGACAAGGTTATTCAAAAACCTGTGCTATGATCATTTTTGCAGCTAAAGTGAATACGAGTTCAAGAAGAGTTAAACACCTTAGCCCATGCTAACTTTTTCTGGATGACCTCATTATTTGGTTCAACATGCCGAGCAAACTTCAGATTATTGATGGTGTACTCATGACCACAGTACACACGCTGAAACACAAGAAGCAAATTGTAACTTAAGAACGTGACTTTAGATGACCTAAAACATCTATTTCCGTAACCGTGAAGATAGCATAGCATTCAATTGCATTTATTCCTTTAATAATAAATGGTGGAACTGTTACCGTCTCTGGAGGAAGACGGCCTAAAACCTCGATCAGGGCTTTATACATCTCATCAGCGGTACCCTCAAAAAACTTTCCACAGCCGGCCACGAACAGAGTATCGCCTGTTTATAATGTGAACATTAACAAAACGACTGATTGTTAATAGTTATACAGAAATTAATACTTTTATTCATTATGGGCGCATTAAATTGATCAAAAGTGACAGTAAAGACATTTATAATGTTACAAAATATTTATTTTCAAAGAAATGCTGTTCTTCTAAACTTTCTATTTATCAAAGAATCCTGAAAAAAAACAATTATCATGGTTTCCACAAAATTATGAAGGTTTTTCGAGCATAAAATCGTATCTGAATGATTTCTGAAGGATCATGTGACACTGAAGACTGGAGTAATGATGCTGAAAATTCAGCTTTTAATCACAGGAATAAATTACATTTTACAATATATTCAAATAGAACACAGTTGTTTTAAATTGTAATAATATTTCACAATGTTTCTGTTCTTACTGTATTTTTTATCATTTAAATGCAAAAAAAAAAAAAAATGCAATCAATGCATCCCTTATTGTATTAAAGTTTTAATTTCCTAATTTTCATTGAAAAAAAAAAACCTTACCTACTCCGACCTTTTGATTGGATGTGTATGTAAAATATGTCTTGCCTGTAAACACAGCTGGTGGTTCGGTGCTGTTTTCTTTTGTAACAAAATAGCAGATGTGACCGCTGGTGTGACATGGCGTGAACAAACACTTTACATTCAGGGAGCCCACCTGGAATAATAAAAAAAAAAAACATAAGAAAATAATAACATTGACAAATCCTACAATCTTAAATGTGTCCAGCAGTATAAAATGGATGATTCTGATTGGCTAAGCTGCACTCAAATCCAATTTATGCACACATGTGATTATACAATACCATTCAGAAGTTTGGGGTCGGTAAGATTTTTCTTATGTTTATCAAGGCTACATTTATTTGATCAAAAACACAGTAATAACAGTAATATGTGAAACACTATTAAAATTTAAAATAACTGTTTTCTTTTTGAATATATTGTAAAATGTAATTTATTGCTGTGATGCAAAGCTGAATTTTCAGCATCATTACTCCAGTCTTCAGTGTCACATGATCCTTCAGAAATCATTCTGATATGTTGATTTGCTGCTCAAGAAACATTTCTGATTATTATTAATGTTGAAAACAGTTGTGCTGCTTCATATTTTTGTGGAAACCACGATAATTTATTTTCAAGATTCTTTGATGAATAGAAATTTAAAGGGGTCATATGATGTGATATGATTTAAATTTTTCCTTTCTCTTTGGAGTGTTACAAGCTCTTGGTGCATAAAGAAGATCTGTAAAGTTGCAAAGACTAAAGTCTCAAATCCAAAGACATATTCTTTATAAAATTTAAGAGTCAACCACTCCTACTTAAAACGGCTCGTTCTAACACGCCCCCACATGTCTACGTCACTATGTGGGAAGATTTGCATAACGCCGCCCAAACGTGCACGCAAAGAAAGAAGGCGTGGTTTCAGAAACAGCAGTAGTGTTGATGCAGCCATGTCAGGGAGACGCTGTGT